ACCCTTTTAATCAAACATAAAAATTCAACTTTATGCGTTAATCTTCATGTTGTTTTCCTTGGAATTTAGTCCTCAAAAAATAATTATATCCGTGGCAGTTTTTTTTGGCAAAATTCCAAAATAATTGCATTGTTCTTAAATTTTAAATTTTTAGCTTGTGTATGTTAAATTTTTTTTTTCAAATCGATTATTATTAAACAGAAATTATGCTACTCAGCAAACCAACGTTATTGAAAAAATACAAAAAAAGGTAACAAAAAGAAAACAAAATACAAAATATAAAAAATCAAAAAATGTAAAAAAAAACTTTTTACTTTTATGTACCAATAATATCTCAATAAAACTAATTTTAATACACAGGATATCCTACACTGTACATGTCTTTATGTTCATATTTATGTACATAAACATAACACACGGTTCATTCTCAGCTTCTAATACTATTCGTATTTTCATTTGGTTTGTATATTTCTTTATTTTACAACTAAAATTTCAGTAAAATATTACAAACCACATTTAATTTCTTACTTAAAAGATATACTTTTTTAACAAAGTATGCAAAATTTTGCACTATCACATTTCTCGTTTAATTTCACATTAATAATGTTCTTGCCCAATTATAGTTTCAAACATTTCAAACTTTTCTTTCAAATAATCAAGCTTTCATTTTTTTGGTTTATTGTTTTCTTTCGCCAATTTCGACTGTTTTTCGACCAACCTTGCACTTCTCCGAGGCGTGTCTTCACTCATGTGCTTGATTCTTACATCAATCTGTTCACCTTCTTCTCTCTCCCTCCTCATTCCTTCTTCTAAGCTCTCAAGAACACGTTCTAGTCTTTCATCTCCTTCAAACCTTTCTTTCTCGACCTCTTCTATAGCTTGACGAACATTTTCAGCAAAACTGTCTGATATGACGGTATCATTTTCATTATTACTGTACTCTAACTTATTTCCCTTCTCCATTCCTTCATCCTTATCGTCTTTTAGACCTTCTTCCTCTGGCTTTCCATCATCTGAAGCTGCGCGATCGTTTCCGTCTCCGTCGATACTTTTTACACTGTTTTTCTCCCTTTCTTCAGAAATCACATGTATTTGCGCAGTTACTTTCTTGTTAATGTCTCCAACATCCAAACCAGATCCTTCCTCCTGCCCTTTGTCACTTTCTTCAATATTTACATAAGTGTGATAAGGTTTATCACTGGAAATAGTAATGCCAATCTTTGCAGAACTCTTCGGTGGTTCATTCAAAGCCACTTTTCCTACTATCTTCTTCCCCAACACTTCGCTTGATTCACAATTTATATCTTCATAAATGCCTTCCTCCTCTCTCATCCCAGCATACCCGTACACAAAATTAGCATTCTCCAGTCCCGTTCTCACCTAAAAAAGATAATTGAAGTCCGTTCTCAAATGTTTATCTCATTAATTTTTCCCTCCTTTCTTTCCTTCATTTTCCCCCCCTCCCCGCCTACCCCTGTTAGTTAGTCTATTCACCCTAACCTCCACCCACCCCACCCCAACCAATTATACTTACCCTATTTCCTTGCGCTTCTTATTTATTTTTTTTTCTGTCACTTTTATTTACCTTCTGTATCTTCTCTTGCTTTGCTTCCTCTCCCAATCCTTTGTCCTCAGGCGCCACAGTACTAGTATATACGATCCCGGATACCGTATTAATTGGAGTCAAATATCCGGACTCCTCAGGCTCCCGCGTACTCTGACCGCTCTGTTCGCGCTTACAACACCAATTCTAAATTAAAAAATAATTAATTTTTGTCCTCTACCTTTTGAGTTTTTGTTATCTTTTCTTTCCCATTCTACTTCTGCGTTTCAATCTTTTACTTCCTTTCATCTCACCTGTCCATTTTGCCACATCCGGTTGAGCCAACCTTCCTCCCGTCCATGCTTCCTAATTGTCTCAGATTCTACAGGGGGTCTATTCCTAAAAAAAAATTTTTATTATACGCTAATTATTTATTCAAAATCCAAATTGTCCATTGTTAATTTTTTTTTTTCCCAATTATAATTTTTTAAATAACTTTCAGTGCAAATTACCATTTATCTCATCTTTTCTATAAAAATTCATATCTTTAAGCAAAATTAAAATCTTCTTCGTGTCTTTAAATAAAACATTTATGCCGTTTATCTTTGGTTGCAAAATTAAAACTTATTTCATCTCCTTGCTTGCACAATCATCCATCGTATCCTTAATTACAAACCTAAACCCTTTCTAATCTTAAATTACAAAATTAAGTTTGTTTTCCCTTCCTTTTATTCCTTTATCCCCTCCCGTGTTAACATACATCTTTATAAAATGATATAATCAATGTTTTACCCTGTATTCTTTCCAATTTCAGGTCATTACAAAGTTTACACTAACCTATAACGTAGATATACAGCTACTATGATTATACAAACAATCAAACAGCCCAACACAATCACTATAACTAGCTTCACATCTCCTGCTTCCGTATCTCCTTTGTCTCCTCCAACTCCTTCTACTATATTTATCAGGGTATCATTTATCTTAACTTCCAACTCCATCTTCTTCTCCTCCTGTTCAAACATTCTACCAGTCCGGTCCTCCGCCGCATTTTGTATTTCAGCTTTTAAATCCTCACTTCTAGTATTCATTATCTGCTTGATCTTCTCCATTAATTCTTCGTCATCTCCTCCACGTCTTATGTTTGAACTATCCATCGCTCCCTGCCCAATGTTCAAATTTATCGTCACCGTGTTAGTATTTACAACTTTCATTCCTCCATCGGAAACCGTCTCTTTCTCCAACTTCTCATTCCGTATCCCAGTTTCCTCTGCATCAAAATCATCTGGATCATCATAAATACTTCCACTGGACCCTCCGTCTTGCCACATATTTCTCCTAAAATATGATAAGTATTATAAATTTATATTCAACTAATACTACAAATTATCAAATTAATCCCTTCCCCCCCCCCCCTTGTCTTTCTACACAATATATTATCTTGTAGCTCCCATTACAAGCCTCACATTACAATATATTTTAATTTCATATCTTATTGCAAACAAATTTAACAAATCTCTTATGCACATATTACTTTGCGTCCCCTTTCTATTGCTAATGATCTACAAATTGTACTTGTACTTGACATTCACCCCCCCCTGCCTCTGTCTATTCCTCTCCCTTATTTTTGTACTTTCTCATCCTTAGCAACAACCGCACCGTATTTACGCAAATTCCACCATCACCACTAACTTACACTCGGACACCCCATCTTGTCAATATTTTCTCTTCTTCCGTCTTTTTTCTTTAAATTAAAACCCCCCTTTTTCCTTTTCCTTCGTCTAACTGCCTTGCCCACCCCCCCCCTCTTTGTTTCCTTTTCTCCGACGATTATTATGCCCAATCATCGTCCTGTACCCTTCCTCCCTTTTCATAATTACTTATTTCCACGCCTTTATTTGTATTTCCTTCATCTAAGCACCCTCAACATCCACCCCCCCCCCTCTTTTGATTCCTAATCTCCGACATATAACGCTCATTCAATCGTTCTGTCACCTGCTTCTCTCTTCATAACTACTTATTAACTTAGAATCAGCATCCTTTTACATCTCAACCATCAATTTCCCCCCCCTCTTGCCGTCCTTCCCATTCAACCCCTTCCCCTTTCTCACACCTAGCTATTTATTTTTTCCTCTCTCATGTCTCCATATGGTACATTGTTTCCCATCATATACAATTCCTACATTCACAAACATCACTCTCGTAAAATTATTGTTATTATTACTTCCACTCCTTAATTTTCACTCTATCTAATAATCTACGTCTACTTGATTTCCGTACACCTTCATTCGCGATTCCCTTTTTGTCCTATCTTCGTCTAAACAATTTTATACTTTCTTTCTTTTACGTTCTAGTTGCTACATTTAATATAACGTTTAGTTCTCCCATTAACTTTTAACTACAGCCGCTCACCTTTTTGTCACTAATTCATACCTGTTGATTCTCTAATTGTTGCGCAAGGACTAGCTTCTTTCCCGCACTTTCTGTGCATGCTCAAAAACCGGTTTCAGACCACCTGTTTTGCGTACGCTTTCTCTGTACTCTTTAATCTTCTCATACACCTCACAACCATAGAACGCACACTTTCTTGCACAAACACAAACACTTACCACCTCATACATTTCTCCTTACATTAATTTTGCTCTTTTTACCATATGTTCTATCCTAGCTTACCTCTTCTATTCCCAAATCTTTTATATTTGGTTATTTTGTCAATTTTTATTTTTCTGTTTATCTGTCTATTTCTCAACTCTTTGTTAACAATGATAATCCTGCTAATTTTTGTATTATCCATCGGTTTTACGTTTATAACTATTATAAAACCTTTTTCTTTTTGCTTATCCGCCACAATTCTACAAATTTCTTTTGTTGTCTCTGTCTTTGTTTACTTATGTAACTACACACAAATTTTAATAACCATAAATAAACAGCATAACGCAAAGGTTTCCTTCTTCTAATTTTTATTCATTTTTTTAAAATTTCCGGTCAACATTGCCAAATTATGTTTGTTATTAATTTTCTTTTTCTCCCTTCTCTAATTTTTCCATTTTTCTAAATTCTCTATTAATTTTCTTTTCCAACTTTCCTCTCATATTGTTCCGCTCCCTTTGACACCCCCCTTTCCTTGCACAATTTACCACCCGCGCGTTATTCTCAATCCTTCCCAACCGGTCAACCCCTATAAAACCAATTAAACCAATCGTTCATCCTTCAGTTCTCTCATAACTTACAACCTATTCGGTTATACCTGCAAACATCTAACAATGTCTCGTCTTAGACATCATTTAGGTAATTTTTTACCTTCTCTCCCCATACTTTTCTTCTTTCTCGTTTTCTCTTGGGCACCAGTCATATTTGACATTTCTAACTATTCACATTATAAGCAAAATGATTTTTGTTTAACACCTGTACTTACATTCAAAGCAAAGCAATCCTTTTCTTTAATTTATGTGTCTTCCCTCTATGGTTAATTAATCACATGTAATTCCTGGGTAGCCCCGCTAATTATTTAATGTCAATTCGTAGATTAAAAAGTAGCTCTTGTTACTTCAGTTTACTTATAATATTTAATCCCAAACTTTGATCAACAAATTAATTTGTAAAACAAATCTTCTAACATTTTTTCTTTATACATTGTCGCTAAAACTAAAAGATACCAAATTAGTTGTACTATAAAATTATTTTGATATATTTGTAGAAAGTCTGTCATTAAATTGTTCTTTTCAAATAAAAGAATCGGAACTACATGTGATCCCTGCTCTCATTACTGTGTGCTAAAAATTTATAATGCTGGTTCTCCCCTCGCTGTTGATCTCCAGAGTAGTTACCTAATCAAAATCTAAAAATATTCCGCTTAAAACTTTCAGCTAGGATTATTTACAAAAAAACTACGTAATGTTTCAAACTCTCATACTCGTGAATTAAAAAAGGGAAGTCGATCCAACAAGTCGGTTAAACTCATTTTTTTTGAAGAATTAACTCCCTACTACACACATATACATAAGCTACCAACTCCTAATTCGTACAATTATTTCAGAAATAGAAGATTTACTGCGATTTATCCACGAAGGAGAATGGAACGAAAGAAGATCTCGAATTGCAAAAAATTTGCCAAGTAGTAGTTCCAGAGACTACCTGTCCCTATTTCTGTGCCATGAAGGGACCACCGACGGCCCCTTCCAAATTGCTATAGACAATATGGATTTAAGGATTAGGAGGTGGTACCTCCTAATCCTTGCGGGTCGTCATGGTCACGTCCTCACACAAAGGACCTACGCCAATGGGCACACGGTCAATGTCTTTCAAACACTTGAAAAAATAGAACCAAACTCCTTAAAGATAAGGACAGTAGAGTTTCCCATCCGCAATCCCTGGACTGAGGTGCAGGCGGAGGATGTTGAAAACCTCTTTTTCATCCTGGATACTGGGGATCGTCTGGAAAAAACTCTGGACATTTTGTTTAACAGCAGGCTCCCCACCCACCTTGAAGAGGAGCTATCACAGGCAGCAGGCCTTATTAAGGTAATTAAAGGGACCATACTCAGAATGTTGGACGGTCACCCCTCTGTAACAGAACTCAATCGTTTTAGACTTTCTTGACCAATAACCAGAAAGATAATTTTTTTGTGAGTCAATAACAAATTTTTGAATTACTTCCATTTATAGTTTTCAACGGTTAATCTAGTACTTGAACCAAAAAAAGTCATCAGTTAATAGCCAATTCCAGCTCTTTTCTTTTGGACATTCCTAAGCTGGGAGTGTATGTATATGTCTATGCCTATATATCTATATAGATAGACATATATTTCTAATTTTATCTAATATGCCTTATTTATTCCAGCCTCTCTCTCTGGACTCTGAGGATGAGGATGTGAGCGATAGCAGTAGTGAGGCCAGCGTGAACCTTGTATTCGATGAATAGAAGCACAAGCCGAGCCCAATCAATACCTTATTTGTCAAAAACATGTCATAATCATACTATTAGAA